GTAACGGGGAGCGCTGGCTTAGGCCCTGCGGGGGGGCTGGCGAGGGGTCTGGGGTCTCCCCTGGGGCTCTGGGGTGCCGAGGAGGAAATCTGCGGTAAAGAACTGCTGGCAGGTGCTCTGCCTTGCGGAGCTTCGGCCCTGGCTCCTTGCAGGGGTTTGGGGGCTTTTTTTGTTGTTTTGGGGGGTTTTGTTTTGTTTTGTTTTGTTTTTGAGAATTTAACTGTTTTAGTGGAAAGTTTCTCTTCCCCAGCTGCTCGGCTTAAAAACACTGGGAGCTGGCGTGAAGCACGCACACAGATTGTTTGCCTCTGTAGCATTTGTCTGGATTGAAATCACAATAATTACAATTAATTTATTGATTTTGAAGACCTGACTTCTCAGCTGAAATGCACTGCAAAATACCAGTCTTCCTCTTTTTTTTTTTTTTTTTTTAAAAGTTCAGAAATGACTAGGACTTTACTTTAAAGAAAAGTCTTGTCAAAAGGCCTGTTTGCAGGTCTGTTTAACTTAGCTGAAAGCCTCCGTGATTGCAGCAGGTATCTGAATGCAGAGCATTTTGGGAGGTAGAGCTCGTGGCTGTCTTCTGGATTTGAAACACCTGGAATGAAAATGTCTCTCTCTCGCTTAACCTTATTTTTAACTGACGTGCGTGACGTAACCGTTTGGCCAGCGTAGGCACAATATGCTGTGGTTAATAAGTTTTCAATTACGTTTGCTATTAGAAATTGGTCATAAAGTTGGAATTGACAGAATGGGTTTTCCTGTGTGATGCAATTAAAATGACTTCATTGACCTTGTTTTTTAACTGCAGCTCCTTTGCCAGCCTCGGACAAGGAGATTTGGATGTGGGATGCTAAACCTCTCTCCCTGCTCGGATTTGGATGGGGGAGGGAGGTGGGGAGAGGAGGAAATAAGTCCTGGTTTCAGGGGAGATTCCTGAACTTCTTTTCTGTGTCCTCTTGGCTCTATACTGGTATCCCAAGTGCATCGCTTCATCGTTTTAAAAGGTTATATGGAAAAGGAGAAATTCGAGGCTCCTTCTGGTTTTACTCTTGTAGTTCACCAGTTCCATGGTAATCATGAACCTAGCTGAATTTCCCAATTACTAAGTTGCTAATAGCATATTTTCTGAGTGCGTTCTCTGCCCGTCTGTGGTTGAAGCCAAGACAGCACTTTGGCCTCAGTATATAAGAGGAGAGTTATTCTCCTTTAGTAGTTGGTAAAGTTTGTTTGTTTTGGTTTCCTCCATGCTACTTCAGGGCAGGGCATGAAAATAACCGCTGCTGTGTACAGAAATTAGGTGCTCATTAAATCTGGAAGTGAAAAGGGAAGAAAAGTGGCAGAGTGATGGTTTTTCAATTGGCTGTGGCCTTTGTAAAACTCCTTGTCAGAGGCATGTTCTGGAGTGGCTGTAGCAGGCGGTGACTGCTGATGTGGCTAATAATACCAGAGCTGCATGCTGGATTTCTTTGTTTGCTTTTCATGCAGTTGCATGTTACAGGGCTTAAGCTTCGGCAGTTGAAGTAAACATAGCTTAGATTTTTCTGAGCCGTGTCTTCTTATGGCATCATGATATAAGCATGTGCATAATGTAGAATCGACTAATGTTTTTCTCATGCCATCGTTTTGCTGTTACAGGATGTAAATTTTTCTTTGCCATCTTTATTTTTGATCGAGGGGGATTGACATAAGGTATCAGTGGCAACAGAAGGGTAATAAAAGCTATTTCCAGTCTTCTCATCTGTTCTTAGCTTACTTAGCTCTTGCAAAACATCAACTGATGTTGATGCTGCAGAAGAAAGGCTGAAAACGTTAATGCTAAACCATCCTGAAAAAAGCCTAAAACTTCTGAATGAACAAACCCTCTGATTATTTTAAAAGTCCGTGGAGAAACTGGTTCTGCAGTTGCTGCAGGACAATTCTCTGTAGTAGGACAGTAGATGGAAAAGCTAGATGGCTAGAAAGCTAGAAGCTACCAAATGCTGCTGTGGTGGAAAGCTAGTGTCCAGATGTGATTACATTGTGTAGGGGGAAAAAAGTTATGGAAAAAGTAAAACATTACAGTAGGATTTGTATTCTCTAATAAAATGAAGCTGGCTTTTGATAGAGCTGAGGCTTTGAAGGATTTCTTTTGTGGTTCTTAAATGGAGATGCTTCTGAGCCAAATCTTGTACTGATGAGCAAACAGGAACTAAATGTTTGCTATATACTTATTTTAAATCTGTTAGCTGTTTTTAATAGTTTTGCTGATGAGACTGTGGTCAACTGGCAGTGAAATACGACTGCCTCTCCCAAGGCTGAACACCCAACTGCCGCTGCTGGATACGTTGCTTGTCTGCTTCCAGCGTTCATGTGTGTTAGCAGGCCAGGCCGTCTTCTTGAGACCAGAAAATGCCACTGTAAGAACCAGTGAAGCAATGTGTTTTATCCTTCAGTATGTAGACTGGGACTGGTTCTGCATAGCTTGTAAATAGGAAGAAAGAGAAGAAAGAATGAATGAAAGGGAACGCCCATGCTACCATTTAAGATAGAGGAAGACGGAAGCCTTTTTATTTTAGTATCTTCTAAAAAATGTGTTTAATCTAAACAGTTGCCTTTATATTTGTATTTCATTGAGCCTGACCCATGCAATTGCCTTGCTTGGCTGTTACTGCTATTCTGAAGTTTAGATGAATACGAGTTCAGTTTTAGAAAGACTAAGGGGTCATTCATGCACGTTGTGATGTTACAGGAGATACTAGGAGACATCTCTCTCTCCAGCATGGAAGATACTAGTGGATGAGTGGAGGACTCTTATCATGGAGATTTCTGCAGTAGGATGAATCCACAGTTCGTTCTTAGTGTGCAGCTAGCTTTTCTGCTTAGTAGTGATGTTGGCTGCTCGAGACTGTGTTCTCTCCATCTGTCTGTGCACCGTGTTGCGTTATGATAGGACCTAGCTCCAGGTCAATGTATGAATCACATGTAAGCTGGTAATTGTTTTTTGTTTTGTTCCTATCTGGCTGTGTTTTCTGTACCTTATATCTGAGCTTGGTGAAAGCCAGCACAGATGAGATAAGTCCCAGAAGCAGCTTAAAGCGGCAGGCATTATTTTTTGTGTAATGCCTTTCATCTCATTGTCTCCGTGCAATTGGAACAGTTGGAATCAAAGGTCCTTTAGTTAATAGCTATTAATCACGAAGAGGCTGGAGGCGAGGCTTTTTATCTTTCAAAGCCTAGGTGTTCTCTTGACTTCTTCCTGTTGGGCAAGATTAAGTAATGTGGTATAAGGTGAACTGGAGATCCTTGCACTGGTGG